TGAATGAATTTTCCACATCTGCGAGCAGCGTGAGGTTGGTCGGTCATTACTCAAACTCATTAGTACTCTTTATGACAGCAGTGAATTGAGACAGGAAACAGAGAAGGATGACATGCCAAACCTGTGTAGACATTAATGTAAGTGTAGCTGTCGCCAACAGCACTGCAGCGCAGGACCAGACAAATGAGTCACCAAGATACACAAACGTATGAGCACTTGAGGTGAGCCATGCCAGACGCCTTCAAAACTCAACAGAAGTGTTGTGTGCAACATTAATTAGGTGCTGGTGGCAGCCCAAATTGAATAATAGTCAATATAAATCACTGTGTTCTGTTGAGTCCAGACTTCGCTAGTGTCTACTGCTTGATTAGAGTCCAAATTCCTGCTTTATCTGAACCAGATTAATCTCCAAAGACATTCTGAAGGGGGATTTACATAGATCTTCATATCTGGACGAGAAACTCAGATTTCTGCCAACAGCAGTGTTTCAACCTCGGCCTCTCCTGTAACTCAGTGATACCCCCTTTCCACCGACATGGAACAGGTCCCATTCCAATTTTTACATCTAATTTTGAACCTTTCAGAGCATTTCCACCACAAATTGTTGCTTCCCTGCTGGAACCAAAAAATTGCAAGTTTTCCTGGATCTTAAGTGTGAACCATGACGACATCAGTGGGCGTGTGATATTCTGTAAGTTGCAAAGAGAGGATATCTTGTACATAATAGTTTTCTACGTCCTCTTATCATTAACTGTTGGTCCATTTTTGGACTAAAAAAAACCCTGCAAAAACAGCAAAAGCTCTCAGGTAATCAGTTCAATTTTGTATTCTTATCTTACACCTACAATGATGACTTACGTGTTCGAGCTTGTACGTGCTTGTACTGCTCCATTGGGGTGTGTTCATTTACTAATTGTCACAAGCTGTAACCTCTTTCTGTTAATGACACATACTAAACTGTGATTGGTCAACTCTGACCTACTCCCTCTATTTAAGTAAGTCATTTAGACTACTGCTTCATGCTTGATAAAGGTCCAGTGGGCTGAAAGGTTGCTTCATTAAAAACCATTGCTGTGTAGGTGCAAGTCAGTGTGCGGGCAATCCTTTCCATGTTAGGCACTTTCTGCTGTGCCAACGCACCTGGTGACAGAAGCTGATTATCCTGGTGTGCGAAAGCCTCTTCAATACAATCAGTGCAATCTGCCATCTTGCCTCTTAGTAAGGTGCTCTGAGTAAATTCAAGTTGTGCATTTATTGTGAAAGGTAAATATGGAATGTATAAAGCTGTGATGCACTGCCATGGACAAAATAAAAAATAATAAAGTGTGCTGCCATCTTGGTTCACACTGATTCAGACTACAGAGCCTCCATGTTAATATTTTGTTGCCTGCATAAATATATGGCACAACTTGAAAACCTTGACTACGCTATGACTGTTTAATTCTGGTGTGAACTGTGCAACACCTCCATTAATGACACATCCTTGATTACAATAAGTCTGCTTAAAACTGGTGGAAATCCAAGTATCCTGAAAGAAACTGGTTCAAGATCCAGAGCTAATTTGGTTGAGAAAGGATATGACTGAACTATGACCCCTTCCTGGTGAAAAGATGTCACTATAAGCTCACCTGTCCACCCTCGCCGCCTGTCAGTGCTGAGATGTCACTGAAGTGTGTGATACCGCTCAGCTGGTTGGACATGGACATCATGCCTCTTTTCTTTGAGTTCTTCTGACGTTGTGGCATGTTAAGACGCACCATCATCGACTCCTCATAGTTTTTCCTATAATGAAGAATAAAGTTGTTGATGGAAACTGATATCTGTAAAACGTATCCCATGCAACATGTTACACACTCCTTTATATCCTCATCAGATATTTAAGCAATGGATGTAATCCCAGTCTTTCACTACATCTTATCATCCTGCGTATCATCCAATCAGCCTTCATGTGTCTCCCTGTTCAAACAAAGTAAACACCTGTGTAGCTCTTCACGGCTCTCCAGCTCGCTCTGGAAGTCTCGTCTGTCCCTGATCTCCTCTGGAGCGTCGCTGTACTGCTGTCTCAGCTCCTGGATCACAGAGCTTCTGAGGGCAGCTCGGCGCTGACGCTCTGACTGAGCCTTCTTCCTGTCTGCTTCTGTCATGTCACCGTCTGGAGGACACAGGGGTGAGATGGGAATATGTGGGGATCTTTATTTTGATACGCATGAACCACATGGGAAGCAACTACCTGCACCAAAATAAACTGTTGTAATTAACTTCCACAAAAACACCAAAAAAGAAAATCTATTCTGTTTAATCAAATGACTAATGGTGAACTTGTTCAGTATGTTCAGGACAGGCAATGAAACAAAACCTGATTAAAAAGACAAATGACATTACCATAATGCACTGGGGCAATCTTTGGCGGTACATATTTCCTGCCACTAGAGTGGGCTGCTTTCTTTCCTGTCTGTTTGTCAGCTTCACCCTCAGACTCCTCAGATTCACTCAACTGGTTGATGAAGCAAAGAAGGAAAGTCAGTCAGACAGTTATAAATACTGCATGTGCAGTATTTTTTACCCTTCATGAATAAAATCAAAGATGACCTCACTTATTAAATGTCTTACAGCAATCAGTAAGGATAAATCATGATAAACTGTACCACCCACATAAAAAAGGGGTTAATATGACAACATTACTTTGCTGATGAGATTCTCAGGATTAGGACGCAGCTGCAGTGGATCATTCTCAGCTGAAATCAACAAAAGACATTGTTATACACTGAAACATGACGGGAAGGAAGTCAGACCATTGGTGGATGCATTCATCGCAATCAACACAAAACCAGTTTTACCTAAACTGCCGGTGACAGCTGTGCGCACCATTTTATCAATCTGGTACTTCAGTTTGTGGTCTAGCGGTCGCATTTTCTCCAAGACCTTAAAACAGGAAGAAAAAAAGCAATGAGATGTTACCTCATGAGGGATAAAAAGGTTTATTATTAGTGGCCTGTTTCTGTAATCATCTCACCGTCCTGATTGTGACCAGTCTGTTCAAGGCTTCACTGTCTTTTATTTTGCCTCCTTCTGTTTTAATGCTGATCAGGTGAGTGAGGTCTTGAAGGTATAAGAGCAGCAGGTGATAGCGAAGATCCAGGAAAGACAAACCCTGCAAGGAGAGAAGATGGAGAGTGATTCAGAGAGGGCTGTTTGTCTAAACCACACCTGGAACAATGATTCCTTAGTTTGTTTCAAACTAGAGAAGATTTTTTTTTTTTACATTAGACATTTTTATTAATTTCAAGTTGTCAGTTATACATGCCTTCTGTTATTTAGTTTCAAGTAGCCCATCTTAATGTAACATATGCACAAAATAAAACATGAAATATCATAAAAATTAGAAATCTGGATCACCTGATCACAATTTATGTTACACAGAGGCAGGAGAAAAGCGCAAAGCAAGCAACACATTGTGCTGCATCCATATGTGTCAGAACATAGATTGACAGATAACAACACTCTCATATGTTGTTTAAAATCCTTTAACAAACACCTTCTTTGCAAACTCATACCGTGCTCAATATTTATCAGTAATGACAGGCAGACTGGGACATTTAGCAGACAATGAAAGGTTCAGCTACTATCTGAAATAGTGAAACAGAACAGGGGCAGGGAATTTAAGTAGTAGCCAGGACCTGCCTTGGTGAATTTTGTTCTTGAGTTGTGGAAATTCACTATTAAATTTGTAGTTAATCAAAGGACCGAAACCTGCAGACATGCAGTGAACATGTGCTTCCCAAACGTTTTCTTAACTCAGCCTTTTTAATAACAACCATAATCAAGTCCTGACTCACCTTTGATGTCTTGAATGCTCCATCTTTGACTTTTTTTATCAGCTCATGGACATGACTTGTAACTGAGGCCACCTGAACAGAAGAGCACAAAAGGTTTCAGCTGTGAAGACTCACATCTACACAAGCTGTGATTAAAGTGTGCATGACACATTCACCAACACGTGAAACATAATCATTTGATGATCAATCACCAAAGATACATAATATAACAACAGGATTATGATAATATTATTCTGTAATATGTCACCATGAGATGTAAGTGCTCTTATGAATATTTCTGCATAGTCATATCTACAGAAGTAGCTTAATATTATTACAATACAACTATACATTTACAATACAAATACAACAATAATATATGACACATATTTCTTACCTGCTCTGTGAGATTACTCAGCAGCTGTACAGCTGTGGGCAAATCCCTTTCAATTAAATCCTGTCGGAAAAGAAACATAAATACATTGCAAAACTGCTAACACCATTCACCTACAGTAAAATAAGTAAAGTTAGCTAGTGGCTAACAGGCTAGCTTAAGTAATTAAAAACATACTATTATTACTCGCTTTCATCAATTTCACTTATAAAACACAGTTTCAGAATACACGTAATTCGACAGAATAGTTTGTTTATATTAAAATACAATGCAGAAAGATTCAATAACTGTTATATTAACTAGCAGCTAGCGAAGCTAAACTCACGTTGTCAACAGGGGCAGCCATTTCGATTTCAGTGTAACGTACGGAAGTCGCAGAGGGACAAACGGCATACAGCTTGTTCAGTTTGCGACAATGTAGCAGCGTTAAATTCAGTCGGTGGTTCCACTAATAAAAAGAGCTAAAAGAAAAGACGGGAAGCTATTAAATAATTAAATACTTTATTATCTAATGTGACATAATACTAAAAACTTTTCTTGTCCCAGAATTAGTCTTAAAAATAATTAAGATGACAATTTTATAGTTGTGAAACCACACATTATCCGTAGATTTATTAACTTTATCTCATTTTCCTTGAGCTTTCTTTGTCACTTTTCTGTCTTTTCTGTGTGTGTGTGTGTGTGTGTGTGTGTGTGTGGGTGAGAGAGAGAGAGGAAGAAGAAGTGATGGTGAGATCAGACAGAGGTGGTACCTGTCTGTGTCCTGTCTCTCAGACCATTTTCAGTCAAACTTTCAGAGGAACCTGAAGAATATTCAGAGAGTTTGAGTAGAGCTAAATAATGGTGAGTCACATCATAACTTAATTAGTGTGTGTGTGTGTGTGTGTGTGTGTGTGTGTGTGTGTGTGTGTGTGTGAAACTGCAGATCATTAGAAGTCATTTTCCAGTAGCCTGCAATTTATTTTTAACTTTGCTGTACATGGTATATTTTGCGTTATCTTGGGGCTACATCAAACAATTACTTTAATAGTCGATTAATCTGCTGATTATTGTCTCAATTAATTAATTGTATGGTCTGTAAAATGTCAGAAAGTAATAAAAATGTACCTCACACTCCAGGCATGCTTGTTTGATTTTGGATAGCTTGTTTTGTTTGAGCAACAGTCCAAAACCTAAAAACCTCAAGTTTACTATCAGAGGAGACTAACAAAACCAGCAAATATTGACATTTGTGAGGCTGGAGCCAGTAAATATTTTTATTTTTCATCATGAAACGACTTCAGCGATTAATTAATAAACAAAAATGTTGCTGATTCAATTTCTCTCAACTGACTGATTGATGAATCGTCTAATTGTCTCAGCTCTAATGTGCTGTTACTGTGCTCGTCTCTTAAATTATAACGTTTCATTTTGTGTTATTTCAATTAACAATACTCTGTTATGAATAAAAGTCCTGCATTCTTACTCAAGTAGAAGTTAGAAAATTAGAAAAGTAAAAGTACACACTACACAATATAATGAGGTTTTTCAGGAGGTTAAATTAGGATATATGATTTTTAATTATAATTACCATGACAATAACATGTAAACAGCCTTTTACTGTTGTTGTTAGTGGTGGAATTAGCACTAATTATGTTGTTAGTTTAATATGTTTGCCTTTTGTGTCTTGTTTACTTAGTGGTAGAATGTAACTAAGTACATTTACTAAAGTATTGTACTCAGTTATGATTTTGAGATGCTTTTTCTAGTATTTCCATTTAAAGCTGTTTTATACTGTTACTCTACTACATTTACATTTTGGGGGGCAATATTGTACTTTTTACTCCACTGCATTTATTTGACAGTATTAGTTACTTGTTAGATTGCAGCATCAGATTATTTGTACAAAATATCAAAAATCAATTTATAAATTAGAATTTACTTTTATGAATTAAGATACCCAGCAGTACACATCTTTACCAGCTGCACCATTAGTGACATTTACACATCAATGCATCACTGATTATGATCCAGTAATATGATAACGATCTTATTTTATTCTGAAATGAGGCATTCTGCATGATGAGTACTTTTACTTGTGGTACATCAAGTATATGTTGTTGCGAATACTTATGAACTTTTACTTGAGTAAGCTTTTGAATGAAGGACTTTTATTTGTAACAGTATTTCTACTTTTACTTCTTCCACTGCTGTTGTTCTCAATATTGGGAAGTTACTAGTTACATGTAATTAAATTGCTTAATAATGTAATTGTAATTGGTTAAAGTTACTGAAAAATAATTTGTAATAAGTTACAGTAACTAAATAAAACATTGGTGATTACAAAGAGGTTACATCCAAATATATTCTTTCAGTAAAATGTTTGCATGTAGACTGAACATTCATTTTGTGGTTTTGGGGCTTTTTGGCTTTTTGTGACATTTTTTAGCCCAGTTTAAAACATTTGTTAGAAAAGTAATAAAAAAATCTAAAACTATTAAATGTAATAATTCACCTTACTGTGATGAAGTAAATATAATAGTTACATATTATATTTTTAACAGGGAAACTATTCATCTGTAGCCTATTACATTTCAAAAAAACCTTTCCAACACTGGTTGTTCTTTATATATTTCTTTTCCCTGTATGTTACTTTTGTAGCCGTCAGAGTTGTTTGTTTGTGTGTTGTATGTGTGGTTCTTTGTGTGTACCTTTTCAATTTAAAACAACAAAATTAAACTTAATATAAACCTTATTTTTTCTGTATCCGAACCTCTCCAGATGTCTGATTCCAGGGTGTCTTCTGTCATCCAGGAGTGGGCAACCTCATACCCGGGTCAGGCCCACACCCAGACCCTGAACCCTACCACATCGACCAATCAGATGTCTCAGATGGACATGATACTGTACAGCCAGTCTCAGGGAATGATGAGAGGGGGCAGTGACGACAGAGTGGCTGAGCAGATGATGGGTCTGCCTTACCTGCCGTACACGTCTTCCTGTCTCAGCAACACCTCCAGTGCTGGGAGCACAAACCACCATCAGAGCCACGCCAACACTCAGCAGGTGTGTGTTAATGTGTGTGTGATCCATCTTTCATTTGTGGTTAGATTATAAGTAATTCTTCAACATTTTCTGACACCCCTCTCATCCTGCTTCCCCACAACCTAAACACACTTGTGTGTCTGACCTTCAGGACTTCTCCTCCTTCCTCCTGCCAACTCTGCGTGCCCCAGTAAACAAGAGGAGCATCAGCAAGGACAGTGATGAGTACCGCCAGCGACGTGAGAGGAACAACATCGCTGTGAGAAAGAGCCGAGACAAGGCCCGCAGGAGGATCCTGCTGACCCAGCAGAGGGCCATGCAGCTGCAGGAGGAAAACCAGAAGCTGCAGATGAGGATAGGGCAGCTGACACAGGAGTTAGACACTCTCAAACACATCCTGTCACAGCGGCACCTGCAGGGAGCTGAGGAGGGAGCACCTGGGGAGTCCAGTATCTAGAACCACGTTTGTGTCTCATTTTGGGCATCAGATTCATTATCAGCGTCTAGGCAGGCCTTAAATACGCAAAGTCAAATGCCTCCTTGTTTATTCAAAAATTGGCTAAAAAGGTTACCATTTGTGAAAAAAGTCACATTTAGAACATTTGCAAATGAAGTGTTAGGGGTTTTTTATAGTTTCACACTGTAAAATTGTGAAGGGGAAAGTATAAAACACTGGCAGGGCTGTAGCTACCTTTGAGGACACTGAGGTCATATCCTCTCGGTCTCTCCTAAAAAGCAGCTTCTCACCTCTGGCAGACATCTTGGGACTTTAGCCGGCTGAAATAACAAATGTCTCTACCACTTTTTATCAGCTGTAACTAGTTGGTGCAAGCTAATGTTACTGCTAACCCCTGTCTACAGCACATTTTTGACCTAACCTTTGACCCCACTGAAGAATGTAGTTAACCCCATGTCTTTGAAGATAGTGCAAAGTTTCTACTGTTGGTAGTGAGCTAGTCAGCTAGCCATGCTAATGTTTGCAGCTGTATCACTACAGCCCCATATGCGCATCTTCAGCATGTAGTGACATCCAAAGCTTGACAGGTTGCTATAACAGTTGTGAAGCTGTATTGAACAATCACTGTTGGGGGGCTGAGGATAGTTAATTTCAAATTTGAGACTTAATTTTTGGTAGGCCTATGTGGTCAGACTTTTCTGGGTGAGGGGGGACTTACTTATGGCTTCAATATTTCTAAAGTTGTGGCTACGGCTCTGCTCACTGGACCTTTGAATAAATGTACTTAACACCTGAAAAAGAGATCTTGAAAACTCAATATAAAGTCAGAAGACGTGTAGTGGGTTTGAATGTAGATGTTCTGAAGTCATTGTATAGTCTAAACTGTGAGTGAATAGACTGAAGCGCACACAGAAACCTTAAGCAAGCCTGTGCATAATAAGATTTGCACTCAGCTTTGTGAGACGGGAAAAGGATTTTAAGGAGAACTTGTTGTACCGTAGATTTAAAGATCCTAAACACTGCACAAATGGATGCAGAAACAAAAAGTCCCAAAGGTTTAAATCTGTATATGCTTAAATTTAACCAATTCTAAATGAACTTTCCTGAAAATTTCTGAAGACAGCATCTTCACATGCATGTGTAATTCTCCTAAACCCTTCAAAAATAAGACCACTGTGCATTAGACAGATTTGATTTGATTTTACAAACATTGCTTAATCATCTACCTGACACTTCTTGTCATTGTCAGAGATGATTGTAAGTGTTGTTGCCCAACAACGTTACACAAGCTCGTGTGGTTTTTGCAGGGGATTCAATGAAATCTAAGTGTCTCTCTCTGTGTATTACTCTTTTGTCACTAAGTGAGTGTGGGATTACTTGAAATAATGTTGATGCAGTTTTAAATTATACGCATTCTTGTTATGTTTGTTTTATGATAACAATGCACTGTTAAAGCAATCCTTTGTCAAATAATTTCTTGAAATAAACAAATAATTGCTTGAGCTTGAATGAAACATGTTTTATATCCTCCAATCACTGATGTTTTAAAATTCTGAGAAATTATCCTAATTTGATATCAAAATATATAAAAGATATGCCTTTGGACATTAGAGCAGCATGAGTGTGTCCTCAAATAGCCTTTACAAGGCTTGATTAGAGTGCACTGCACCTCTAAATAACACATCTTTCTCACAGAAAATGGTGTGATACAACCCCCAGTTGTACTCTCATTAATTCTCCATAACATCCTTCATCAGGGAACATGGCGTGCACCTGCCACATCATTTACCATAAGTTGTCTACCCACAGAAACGGACGTCATGCCGTGGACCGTTGTACACCAGCGGTTTCCCTTTGTGGGATGGGCAAGATTTCGACACAGCGGAGGACGGAGATGAGGAGCGCAGAGATAGTATCAGTGTTTCGGGCTGCCAGGGCCTTCCTGTGGCTGTGATGGTAGTGAAGGGATATAGAGATAGGGAGACAGAGAGGAGGGGGTCTGGGGCAACAAGCCAGACATTTTTTTTCTTTAAACCTTTGTCCAGAACAATAGTTATAACATTTGGTAAAAATATTTTCAACACTATTAGATAAGCAAAAGCAGTATTGAATTCCTTTGCATTTGGTCTTGGTGCAATATTAAAAATAAAGAAAGCACATGTGCAGTTTCCATGTCCATTTTCTTTGTTGACTAAAATGTCAAAAAATGTAACAAGTAAATTAGTTTATAAAGTCTTTCAAGGATTTAATTCTGGCTTTATGTTATTGCTGGTATGGCAACAAAGACCAAGCGAGGCAATGTACAGTACAGGCCAAAAGTTTGGACACACCTTCTCATTCAATGCGTTTTCTTTATTTTCATGACTATTTACATTGTAGATTCTCACTGAAGGCATCAAAACTATGAATGAACACATGTGGAGTTATGTACTTAACAAAAAAAGGTGAAATAACTGAAAACATGTTTTATATTCTAGTTTCTTCAAAATAGCCACCCTTTGCTCTGATTACTGCTTTGCACACTCTTGGCATTCTCTCCATGAGCTTCAAGAGGTAGTCACCTGAAATGGTTTCCACTTCACAGGTGTGCCTTATCAGGGTTCATTAGTGGAATTTCTTGCTTTATCAATGGGGTTGGGACCATCAGTTGTGTTGTGCAGAAGTCAGGTTAATACACAGCCGACAGCCCTATTGGACAACTGTTAAAATTCATATTATGGCAAGAACCAATCAGCTAACTAAAGAAAAACAAGTGGCCATCATTACTTTAAGAAATGAAGGTCAGTCAGTCCGGAAAATTGCAAAAACTTTAAATGTGTCCCCAAGTGGAGTCGCAAAAACCATCAAGCGCTACAACGAAACTGGCACACATGAGGACCGACCCAGGAAAGGAAGACCAAGAGTCACCTCTGCTTCTGAGGATAAGTTCATCCGAGTCACCAGTCTCAGAAATGGCAAGTTAACAGCAGCTCAGATCAGAGACCAGATGAATGCCACACAGAGTTCTAGCAGCAGACCCATCTCTAGAACAACTGTTAAGAGGAGACTGCGCCAATCAGGCCTTCATGGTCAAATAGCTGCTAGGAAACCACTGCTAAGGAGAGGCAACAAGCAGAAGAGATTTGTTTGGGCCAAGAAACACAAGGAATGGACATTAGACCAGTGGAAATCTGTGCTTTGGTCTGATGAGTCCAAATTTGAGATCTTTGGTTCCAACCGCCGTGTCTTTGTGAGACGCAGAAAAGGTGAACGGATGGATTCCACATGCCTGGTTCCCACTGTGAAGCATGGAGGAGGAGGTGTGATGGTGTGGGGGTGTTTTGCTGGTGACACTGTTGGGGATTTATTCAAAATTGAAGGCACACTGAACCAGCATGGCTACCACAGCATCCTGCAGCGACATGCCATCCCATCCGGTTTGCGTTTAGTTGGACGATCATTTATTTTTCAACAGGACAATGACCCCAAACACACCTCCAGGCTGTGTAAGGGCTATTTGACCAAGAAGGAGAGTGATGGAGTGCTGCGGCAGATGACCTGGCCTCCACAGTCACCGGACCTGAACCCAATCCAGATGGTTTGGGGTGAGCTGGACCGCAGAGTGAAGGCAAAGGGGCCAACAAGTGCTAAACACCTCTGGGAACTCCTTCAAGACTGTTGGAAAACCATTTCAGGTGACTACCTCTTGAAGCTCATGGAGAGAATGCCAAGAGTGTGCAAAGCAGTAATCAGAGCAAAGGGTGGCTATTTTGAAGAAACTAGAATATAAAACATGTTTTCAGTTATTTCACCTTTTTTTGTTAAGTACATAACTCCACATGTGTTCATTCATAGTTTTGATGCCTTCAGTGAGAATCTACAATGTAAATAGTCATGAAAATAAAGAAAACGCATTGAATGAGAAGGTGTGTCCAAACTTTTGGCCTGTACTGTACGTAGATACAGATGTTCACCTTTTTGTCATTTGTTATCATTATACACACAAACCAAAACTCAACACTTCCTGGTTTTACTAGAAACATACAAGCGATTAAAAATTATATTAAATTCCTTTAGGGCTGTCTGTGTTGTTAAATTATGTAAGTATTCAATTTTCCAACTCACTAACCTGAACTGATAATAATTACAACACTACTTTGATCCACACACACACTGTTAAATGTGCAGTTTGATTAATCCAACAGGACCTAAAACTAATCACATCCAGTCACTGAGGGTTTCATTAGCTTTCATTAGGCAGTGTAGCTCTGCACATATAATCAGTGTCTGTAATGTTAGATGCTACAAGCACAGGGGGAATGAGGATGCTCAAAAACATCAGAAAACACAATACTCGACATGTACAGAAGGATGAGAAAGTTGGGCTCATTTTTGTGTTAGAGGACCACAAATCTGCTGTAGCATGTTTGAGTCATACCAGTGTTATGATGGGAAGACAGACTATACTAACATGTTTGACAGAAGGCCATTTCAAGACATTGACACATATTAGCTGAGAATATCTGCAGTTTATTTATGGTATTGTTTGTTTGTGTATTGTATGAATGAGAGTATGGGACTGGGCAGTAACTCAGTTTTGATTTTGTCACCTTACACTCTTCTTGTCCGGAGCCACAAAATGTGTATTAAAGGTCACACCACCTAAATTAAGAACTCCAGTATGTTATTTCCATGGCCTATATATTTCAATCAATATTAGTGAACATGAACTACTCTCTCTCAAAGCCAGAAACCAGAGAAGTCAGTCTCAAACTTGAGATGTCATGAGGAATAGAGTCTGGAGCTGCTCTAAAGTAAATTACCCAGCCAACATCTGTATGTGGGGCCCCTGTAGGTAGTAAATGGGCTACACACATGGGCCCTACACGGGATTGTCCAATGGTTCCATAATGGCCCCATGCCAGTTGCCCACATAGTGGGTATTGGCCCAAAATGAGCATCTTATTTGGAGCTCACTTGGGTAAACCCGCCCATGTGGGCAACTGGCATGGGGCCAATGTGGAACCTGTGGACAAACCCATATAGGGTCCATTTTTATGTCTATTTACAACCCCCATGGGCCACACATACAAATGTTGGCTGGGAAATAGGAGCTTGATTAAGTGGACCAACAGACTGTGTGTTTTCTTCTTTATACCCAAATGAGCTTTATTCTATTGTAGTGTTCTTAGTACTCAGAACATTCCCCTGGGTGCTCTCAGAGCCTGTTTATACCTGGTATCATCGTGCATCTTGGGTGACCCGATCACAAATGGACAACACTAAATGCAAGTATAAACGACCACCAAGGTGCAGTGTGATCCGATCACTCAAACCACTTGCCGAGGTGGTCTGAGATGCATTTAACCACACATCTTCTGTAGTCTAAACACTAATGTGGCCTGATGTGCCCCTGACACGGACTGTGTCATCAGTGCAGGATGTGGTGGTTTTTTGGTGACTTTGTATTAACACTCTATAGCCTGCCCAATTTTACAGGCAGCTGTGGCTCAGAGGTAAAGCAGGTCGTCCATTA